AACCTCGTCCTCCATCTTGCGGACTTCCTGCTGCAGGGCGCCGAGTCTCTCCTGGAGCGCTGCGTTCTCTGATCGGACCTCCTCCAGCTGAGTCCTGCGGCCCAAAACACAGAATCAGAACCGCGCTCTGCACCTCAGACAAACGCAGCGTCGTGATTGGACAGCAGCTCAGCCAGTGCTGTGAACACGCGCTACATTCATAAAGCGATGCACAAACGGATCAGCTGATCTGCAAACGCGCTGCGGTCGGAGGAGGCGGCTCAGAAACCAGAGGAAGCACCTGCACAGGTGGGCGGGGCTTCGTCTGGTTTCACAAACCGAGAGCACAGAGGCTCCACGCGTCATCATCATCATCAATCAGATCAAACAGACTTGAATTATGAAGAAAGAATTTAAGGAAAGACAAAAGGACAGGAGGAGGGCGGAGTCAGTGATAAGTATTTTCATGCATTTAGATGATGTCATTCGGTTAGCGATGGGGTGAAGGGTCAGTCTGCAGCAGTGCATTGTGGGTCAGGCAGACGGAGGTTAGTCTCCGGTCCGGCTCATGCTCCACAAACCTGCGTGCACCGGCCGGCTCCACCAGCTCCTCCAGAGCCAGAACCAGCTCCTCCAGCTCCAGCAGCTGCTTCGTCATCTTCCTCTTCTCCCTCTCCAAGTCTTCCTCCGCCGTCCTCTGCCGGCTCTCGGAGTCCCGCAGAGCGGTCTGCAGCTGCAGGAGCTGCTCGCTGCTCGCCGGCTCGACCTGACCCGTCTTGGCGTTGAGCTGCTTGCGGAGCTCCAGGACGAGGTCGGCGGTGTCGTTGAGCTGGGAGCTGAGGTCTCGGAGGTGGTCTCTGAGAGAAGAGATCTCCTCCTCCATCTCCACGATCTGGGTGGAGAGCTGGTCGGTGAGCCGGATGTAGGTCCCGTTCTCCTGGCTCAGACGCCACACCTCCTCCTTCTCCTCCGCCAGGCTGGACCGCAGCAGCGAGGTCCGGCTCTGCTCCTGCTCCAGAGCCTCCTGCAGGGTCTCCTCGCCGCTCCTCCTCCGGTGCAGCTCCTCGGAGACGCCGTCCAGCTGCAGCTGCAGGTGGTCCACGGCCATGGCCTGCTCCTTCAGGTCCTGGATCAGCCGGGCGCGGTCCGTCTTCAGAGAGTCCAGTTCGGCTGCGAGTCTGGAAACGGACTCAGCTTTGCTCCTGAGCGCCTCCTGCAGGTTCTCCAGCTCCGCCCTGAGGGAGGAGACCGTGTGCTCGCGGGCTCGGAGCTGAGCCTGTTGCTGGGCGACGGTGCAGGAGAGCCGGTTGCAGCTTCCTGCCGCCTCCTCTCGGTCCCGCAGGAGGCAGGTGGACGCAGCCTGCAGCTCCTCCAGCTCAGCCTTCGTGTGGGACACCTGGACCTGAAGCTCCTCCTCCCTGCTCCTCGCTAGCAGCAGCTCCGCCTCCGCCGAGCTCTTCTCCGAGGCCAGGCGTTTGTTCAGAAGCTCCTGAGACTCCAAGAAGGCGATGCTCTCCTCCAGCTGCGCGCAGGCCTCCTCCAGCCGAGCCTCCAGTTCCCCGCTCCGCCTGTAAGACGCCTCCAGCTCCTCCTTCAAATTGGCCTCTGATTGGCTGGACGCCCGCAGGACATCCTGCAAACCGGAGACTTGCTCTTTCAGGAGCCGGACCTCTTCCTCTTGCCGTTCCTCCGTGCTCCTCTTCTCTTCCCGGGCTCGCTCCTCACTGCACAGTTTCTCCTGCTCCGCCTGCACGAGCCTCCTCTCCCAGAATCCTCTCTGCTCCTGCAGCCGCCGGCGTTCCTGGTGGAGCTGGTGCAGGAGGCGGCGCTGAGCTTCACCGTGCTGCATCTTCATCTGAGCGAGCTGCTGCTCTGACTCCTCCCTGCTCCAGGAGACGCAAAACCAG